CTACTATTTAAAATATAATTTAATAATATTTATATTATTATTATTATTCTATATTAATATTAGTATTTTTTATTTAATTTTCTAATAATTTCTATTTTTAATTATAATATTATTTAATATAGTTATTATAATTATAAATTATTTAATTTTCTATTTATTAGTAATTATATTATAGTTTAATCTTATTATCTTTATATATTTTATATTTTTATTTTTAATATATTTTTATAAATATTTCTTTATATATATATTTAATAGAATATTCTTTTAGATCTTTTTTAAAAATAATATATAATTCTATTTTATAATATTAATAAGTAAATTATTATATTTAAATTATATTATATTTTCTAGATATTTTTCTATTAGAAAATAAAAAGAAATTATATATTATTTTCTTCTATTAATATATTATATATTATATATTATAATAGATTAATTATAACTCTTATTTATAGTTATAAATATTATTAGTTTTTATATAAATAGAGTTATTATATTTATTATTAAATTATTAAATAATTTCTATAATACTTTTTCTAAAAAATACTAATTTAATATTTTAATCTAGATTTTAATTTTATATTTTATATTAATAGTAAGTATATAATTTATAATATTTAGTTTTAATTTTATTTCTAATAAATAAATATTTTTTTTATTTTTATTTTTATTTTTAGAATATATTTATTATTATATTAAAATATATATTTATATTTAATAAAAGATTTAAATTTTTTTAAAATAGCTTTTTTATTTTTATATTTTTATTTAAATTTATTAAAAATATTCTTAATATATTATTAGTTTTCTTTTAATATTTTCTAATTCTATTATTTATTTAATTTTAATATTTTCTAAAAAATTAAAATAAATTCTTTAGAAAAAATAGAAATTATAATAATTATAAACTTTTTTTTCTAAATAATTTTTTTAATTATTTTAAAAATCTTAATTTTAATTTTTTTAATTACTTTTAATTATTTTTTATTTTTTTTAATAAATTTTTAATTTTTTAATTTTTTTAGTTTAGAATATTATAATAAAATATATTTAATTTTATTATAATTATAATATTTATATTTTTCTATAGCTCTTAGCTCTATAGAATTTATATATATTCTAAAAATTATAAATTATTATTATTATTATAATTAATTAATATTAGTATAATATATTATCTTTTTACTATAAATTTACTAATAATATTATTAATTATTAATTTTTATAATTATAATTATATATTTATAAATATTTATTAATTTATTTTTCTTATAGAATTTCTTTTAAACTTCTTTTTTTAATTTATTAAAATAATAAAATATAATATATTTTTAGTTTTATTTAGTTTTTATTAAAAACTAAAGATATTTACTATTAAAAATAAAAATAGATTTAATTTAAAAAAGTTTATTAATTTTATATTTTATTTTATATTTTATATTTTAGATTTTAAAGATTTATTAAAAAATCTCTATAAAATAATTAAAACTTATTATAATATTAATAGTTTATTAGCTTTTTTAGCTATTAAGATATTTTTTTATAATAAATTTAAACTAATTAAATATAACTTTTTTAAATTATAAATAAATATAAATAATTTATTATTTATTATTATTAAAAATAATAGAAAAGTAATTAAAATATACTTAAAGTTAGATTATAAACTCTTAAAGTTTATTTTAAATTCTATTAAATATTTTAAATAATAATAGTTTAAATAATACTTTTAGTTTTTTTTTCTAAATTATAATTTAAATCTAAATTTAAAAATTAGTATTTTAAATAATTTATTATTTTATAAAAATAATAATAATTATTATTTCTTATTATATAATTATAAAATATTTCTAAAATTAAAAAACTTATATTTATAGAAGTTTAATTTTAATATTATTATTATTCTTATTATTACTTTTATTATTATTTTTATTTATAATATTATTATTATTTAGAGTAGATAAATTATTAATAATAGAATTTTATTATTAAGCTAGAGAAACTATAATAATTATAATATTTTCTTTATTATTATATAGTAATTAAGATAAGATAATTAGCTAAATAAGAGTTATTAATATATAATAATTAAATAATTTATACTAAATAGAGTTTAAAATAAATTAGAATTAAACTAATTAGAATATTATTCTAAATAGTATAATTAAATTATTATAAACTATATAATATAAGTTACTATTAATATATAATTATTATAAAGCTAGTAATAATAAATATATAAATATAGATTTATTAATAACTATTTAAAAGAGTATTCTATCTAATAAAATAAATATATATATATACTAGGGAATTATTAATATTTAGTAATAATCTATTATTCTAAATTATTAAAATTATTATAAGATTCTAATAATCTACTAATAATTAGTTAGAAAAAGTAAAATATACTATATAACTCTAATAGATAATAATATAATTTATAATATAATAAGTTCTTTCTCTCTCTATATATAATAGCTATATTATAATATTTTTTTTATTAGTTTTACTATAAATAAGAATATATTCTAAGATCAGATAATATATAATTTAGTATATATTTTTTAAGAATATAATTAGTAGTTTATATCTAAACTTTTAATATTATAAGATAAAGTTAAAATTAAATACTTTTAGCTTAAGTATAGATATTAATATCTTAAAAACTCTAATAATAGAAGCTATTTATATAGCTAGATATATAAATAGCCTAGTTATAACTATAGTCTTTAAGAGAGAAAGCTTATTATCTAATAACTATATTTACTTACTAAGCTTATTAATTATTAATTAATTACTAGATATTTTAAATAATAATAGCTATAATAGCTATATCTAATATAAATATTCTAATTACTTAGAGCCTGATTAATACTTCTAATAAAGTTCTTTAAGAGATAATAACTATTATTAGAGATAATATAAAATAGTTATTTACTAAGGAGAATAGAGACTAGCTAGAAGAAAAGCTATATCTTAAGAATAGCTATCTACTTATATAGATCTACTATAACCTAATATATAATTTATAGTTTTAATATATTATATACTATATTAAGATAATTAGAATAGAGATAGTTCTTAAAAGTTAATTAAGCTTATATTTTTATTTTTAATTACTTAGTTTAAGTTTAGATTAGAATATTAGATTAGATTAGATTAGAATATTAGAAAAATATTTATTATTAGTTAGAAATAATAAGAATAAAAAGTTAGTTACTTTTAAGATTATAAGTTAATTTACTTCTATAAGTATAATATATATTTACTACTATAGGAAATTTTATTAGAAATAATATAGATTTAATATTAATTTAATATCTATTTATATATATTTAGTTATACTATATAATAATTATAATATTTATAATATCTAACTATATTTAAAAACTAGTATATTCTAAGACTTATAAATAAGTTCTTCTTACTATTATTATTTAAATATTTAGTTAGCTAGTTAATATACTATATACTTTATATTTTAAAATATAGAAAGAGTATTTTATTTTTCTAAATAGAAAATTATTTTAATATAATAAATATATATATATATATATATATATATATATTTAAGAGTTTTTACTATATATAAGAAATATTCTAAGATCAGGCTATATATAACTAGCTCTATATAATTTATTTTTAACTAAGTTTTAATTTATATCTAATTTTTAATTTTATTTTTTTTACTTTTTTATTTATATAAACTAAAATAAGATAATAGCTTCTTTAAAAACTCTAAAAAGAACTTACTAAATATATAACTTAGTTATAAGCTCTAAAAGAAAATACTTATTATTTATAATTAATTATAATATCTCTCTAAGCTTATTATTATTATTACTAACTATCTCTTCTTATAATAATAATAGATATCTCTAATATTATTATTCCTTATAGTTAGAGCCTAATTATTATAAGTAATTAGATTCTTATATATATAATAGTTATTATTAATAAAAACTATTAAGATCTCTTTTTAAATATTAATTATTTAAATCTATAATCTATTATAAATTTACTTATAATAATAAAACTACTCTCTTTTATATAGATCTAGTAGTTATATCTACTAAGATTATTATTTTATTTTCTTATAATTAGTAATAATATAGAAATAGATCTAATTATTAATATACTTATAGAGAACTATAATAATATTTCTCTAGTACTTAATTATTATTATAATCTAAATTACTATATATAGTTCTAATAGATAATATACTAGATTAAGTTAATTTAGATTAAAGTAGTTTTTTAAGTTTAATATCTATTTTAATTAGTAATATTAGATAGAAGAGAATTAAATTAAATTAAATTAAATTATTAAAAAGTTTATTAAATAGAAAAGTTAAATTAAATAAGATTAATATAATAGTATTTAGAATATAATAGATTAGTTAATCTAATACTACTATAGATTATTTAAAGAAAATTATAATAGCTAATTATAAAGTTACTATATATTAATAAAGATTAAATATAGTTTATATAGTAAAATATATATATAATAGTTATTATTATAATAAGATATTAGTTATATTTAACTATAAATACTTTTTTATATTTTCTTTTTTCTATATCTTTCTTCTAATTTTATTTTCTATTAGAAAAATTAATAATATAATAGAAAAAACTAGCTAAAGAAAAATCTAATATAGATAAGAAAATTTTTCTTTTATACTAATAAATAACTTAATTCTAGAGTAATCTTTCTATTACTTTAGAATATATCTAATATATTTATAAGATATAAGAGTATATTAAAAGTAAGATTTAGTAGGAAATCTAATATAGTTTTTAAATATATATATTTATTATAGAGTACTAGAAGTATACTGCTCCTAATAATCTAGCTATATTCTATAATAGGAGTATAATACTCCTATTACTTCTATCCTTTAGATAGTAGGGTATATATAACTATATAACCTATTATAGAGGCCTTTGTTTATAACACTAACCCTTATTTCAACTACTGATCAATAATACTGCTAGGACTTGGGATAATCTGAGGTAGCTGTATTAGAATAGATAACCCTTTGCTTCTTGGGAGAACACTTGCCTGTGATGGTACGGGCTGAGTTATGTACTGTCACCTCAACAGCATCCCCGACACTGATGACCACCCCTTCACCTTTGGTCGATGCCGACGTAAGAAAGCCATATCTCCCAAAGATCGGGCTCCACTTCATTCCTGGATCAACTCTCCTGTCTTTGCTCAGCTTCTTCAAAACCTTGCCTGCTTCCATTTTACCAGCTTTGCCCGTCGTGTAGTCAACGTTGAGACTACCACATCTCGCACAGTTTTGAGTCAGCTTCATGGTAATACTCCCGCGAATCCGCAGCTCAGCCCAAAAGTCCTCTTCATAGGCTTGTTTGGCTCCCGATACAACAATGTTGGCTCGGAACTTGGTGATGTCCATCTCCTCGTCATCGGGCAGCCTCTCGTTGACATCTTGGTAGCTCTTGGTGCTGATGATAAGATAGGCGGCCAAGTCCGCAAACGTGATCAATGGCCCTATCCTCCCTAGCCAATATCTTAGTAGCTGCGCAAGAGCGATATAGACTGCGACAAACAATATCGCGGTGGTAGCCCAGGAGATGCCGCCTGTTGATTCCCAAGAAAGTAAACAAGATCCAAGCAGAAAGGTGACAGGAATAGCAGTCAACGAAGCATACAGCGATTTGGCTGTTGGGGACACTACTCCTTGGCCCATGTTCCCCAGGACCTTCCTGCGGTGGTCCCCTATGTAGAGGAGCTTGACGGGGTATCCTAGCCGACGACTGAACCAGTCATTATACTTGTCTCCCATGTCATATGCAGAGCATGGACTCAAGTGCATCATTACAGTGACTCGTGCCAACTTGTTCACATCCGGCTCCAGGGGTACTGATAGGATAGATGGCTCGACAGGACTAGATGGTTGGTCAAAGATATAGCTTAGGCTATATTGAACCTCGATACTTCTAGGCCCATCCTCAGGGGTCAATCGAGTAGTGAAGAGGCAGAGCGCCGGTCGAAGTCCAATATGGAGATTCTCTTTCTTATTAGCATCCCAGAGCATGAAGTATCGGTCGTATGCGAACCCGGTTGGTTTGGCATGGATTGAAGAAAGGGACACCCCTCGGAGGGACTTGATAGGATACGTGTATACCTGATGGTGTCAGTGGCTAGTCAAATGAAGGGCGTTGGCAGAAGACGGAACTTGGACATACGGCTTCAACACGCATTGACATGATGGCGGTCCAGAGCTGTTCCTGCTCCTGAAGTCAGAATGGCCTGCTTTGGGGCTCCCAATGACATTATTATCGATCGGATAAGACTTACCGTGTTATGAAAGAAGGTATACAGACACGGAAAACGGCAGTGTTGAGTGATTCATAGGTGCAAGATTGGCCAATATAGGTAGCAACAAGTCGAACACTCAGTAGTGCCGACTAGCTACCCCGCAGGCTTCGCTGGCTTTCTTGCCTTTTTGAGATGAGTTCCAGGGTTGGCACCGTCAGTGGAAGTCTCGTCGGTCCTCAGTCACAGCAGGGTGCAGGATAGGGTCAATTCTACCCCGTACTGGAGTAAAAGATCTAGACCCTCCGAGGGAAGGCCGGAAGGGACCTAGGTGGGCATGGTCCTAAGATCGTCTTCAGTAGTGAGAATAAGACATTGACCGATAACTTGGTTATCTCGCACTGCCGCCCAAAGTGGTATGTGAGAAACACCAGCCCTGGCCTTTGAGTTTGAGCTGGAGCTAATCTATACCGTGGTCTGTACCCCTCTATTATTAGAGACCTAGTATATATAATAATATTATATAGGCAGCTATCTTAAGAGAAGATATTACTCTATAATACTCTAATTATTAGAAGAGTATTATAGATCTATTATAGAATTAGTAGATTTAGTATTTTATTTTAATTATTTTTTAGATATAAAGATAATAAAAAAGAATAAAAAATAAGAAAAATAAATAGAAAAAACTTTATTAATAGATTTAAAATTATTTTAATAATATTTTTCTTAACTTAATTTATTTTATTAATTAGAGATTTATTATATTTTTTTTTTTTTAAGTTTTTTACTATATATAAGAGATATTCTAAGATTAAGCTATATATAATTAGATCTATATAATTTATTTTTAACTAAATTTTAATCTATATCTAATTTTTAAATTCTATTTTTTTTACTTTTTTATTTATATAAGCTAAGATAAAGTAATAGCTTCTTTAAAAACTCTAAAAAGAGCTTACTAAATATATAATTTAGCTATAAGCTCTAAGAGGGAATTATTATCTATAATTAATTATAATATCTCTCTAAGCTTATTATTACTAATTACTAATAATTAGATCTCTTTTAATAACTATAATAATAAATATCTCTAATATTATTATCTTCTATAGCTAGAGTCTAATTATTATAAATAACTAGATTTTTAGATATATAATAGTTATTATTAATAATAACTATTAAGATCTCTTTTTAGATATTAATTATTTAAGTTTATTTTTTTTTATTAGTTTTATTATAAATAAGAGTATATCCTAAGATCAGATAATATATAACTAGATTATATAATTTTTTTAAGAATATAATTAATAGTCTATATCTAAACCTTTAATACTATAAGATAAAATTAAAATTAAATACTTTTAGTCTGGATATAGGTATTAATATCTTAAAAACTCTAATAATAGGAGCTATTTATATAGCTAGATATATAAATAGTCTAGCTATAGCTATAGCCCCTAAGGGGGGAAGCTTATTATTTAATAATAATAACTACCTTTTCTTTCTAACTTAAAGCTTATCTTAATTAATTAATTAATTAATTATATCTTACTATTAATACTAAGTATCTATAATATATTATCTTCTATAATTATCCCTACTTATAGAGCTTTAGTTATTATAAATAATATAGACTTTAATAAGATAATAGAGATTATAAGAGATAATAGTATATAGCTCGTAACCGAGTATATCTAATATATACCTCTCCGAACAGTCAAGGGCTTACTTATAGTAATAAAACTGCTAATAATATCCCAGATCCAGCAGCTGTACCTGCTGGATCTATTCTTATATTATACAGCCTATAGCTGCTATATACTATCAGTACTTAAAGCAGATAAGATATTATTTAAGTTTATAATCTATTATAGATTTACTTATAATAATAAAGCTACTCTTTCTTATATAAGCTTAATAGTTATATCTACTAGAGCTATTACTATATCTAGTAGCTAGTTAATAAGAAGATATATAGATTCTAATTTTCTATATACTTATAGAGAACTATATAAATATTCCTCTAGTACTTAATAATTATTATAACCTAATATACTATATATAATACTACTAAATAATATATTAACTTAAGTTAATTTAGATTAAGATAGTTCTTTAAATTAAATAAAAAGTCTATTTTAATTAGTATTAAATAAATAGAAGAGAATAGAATTAAATTAAATTATTAAAAAGTTTATTAGATAGAAAAGTTAAATTAAATAAGATTAATAAGATAGTATTTAGAATATAGTAGATTAATTAATCTACTATTATAGATTATTTAAAGAAAATTATAATAGCTAATTATAAAGTTACTATATACTAATAAAGATTAAATATAGTTTATATAGTAGAGATTTATTATATAATATAACTAATTATCTATAAAGAAATATTAAATTAATATTAAATCTATATTATTTCTAATAAAAAATATTCTATAGCTATAAATATATATTATATTTATAGAGATAAATTTATTAATAATTTTAAATAATTAATTTTTCTTATTTCTAAATATATATAAATTTAAATTTAATTAAAATAAACTCTAATATATTTTAATTTAGTTTTTAAAAAATAATAATAATTATTAATTAATAGCTAAGAAATCTATATTTTAAATATATTAAATTTTTTAATTTTTAATTAATTAAAAAGTTTTTTTATAATAATATAACTATTTATAATATAATAGATTTAGTAGCTATATCTATTTAGATTATTTTTATATTATAATAATAAAATATAAAATATTTATAATATATTTATTAGAAATAAAAATTAATTAAATTAAAAATTATATTTTATTAATAATTATTTTATTATATTTATTTATTTTAATTTAATATATTATCTTTATTTAATTAATTTTTTATCTATTTTATTCTATTAATTTTTATATTAGAGTTTAAATTTAGAGTTAGTTAAATTTAATATTAAATAACTTTTTATTATTAAATAGAAAAAATAATTAATTAGAAAATAATTTAAAATATTAATATTAATTTACTTTTATAAATATAATATATATTTACTATAATAAAGTTTCTAAGATCTATATAAAGATATATTTTAATTTTATATTTATTTATCTATATATAGTTCTTTTTAATAATATAGAGATTTAAAAAATATATTTATTTAATTTATTATTTTAATAATTAATTATTTAAAAAATATTAATAAAATTTTTATTATATTTATAAAAAATTATATAAATATTTTTTAATATTTAATAATTATTATAATTTATATTATTATATATAATATTAATAAATAATATATTAAATTATTATATTTTTATTAAAAAACTAAATATAATTTTATAAATATTTATAAATTTTAATTATTTTTAAAAAATAATATAAATAATATAAATAATTTAATAATAAATTAATATTAGTTTTATTAATAATTATAATATATTATTTATTAAATCTAAAACTAGATTTCTAACTAATAGTTATTTAGTAAAATTTATACTAGAGTATTATATTAAGCTATATAACTCTATAGTAACTTATCTTAATAAACTAACTCCTGAATATACTTACAGATTCTCAGCTGATAAGAACTACTCTTTCCATTTTCAGGTACTACCCGAGAAGGCGGTAAGGTACCTGGATATTTTAGTAGGGCTGAAAAGGGTCAGGGTCTTTTTAATCTTCGGTAAACTCTCGCGAGATCGCGAGGATCGGCCGTTGACCATGCCAACGGATAAACGGAAAGAAGAGCTAAGTAGCGGGAAAAATATGAGAGAAAATACCAGAGAGAAGATATGCCCCTCTCAACGGCTTTCGGATATATGCGCAAAAGGGTAAGACAGCTAAGGGTAGCCATAAGACACCCCCACAGCCCCATATAAACTCAACTGGGTGACGAACAGGAACTCGTCGACGGGACAGACAAGTGTATCCTTGCGCTTCTCCCGCAGCATACCGATAATAGTCTTGCCATACTCCGAGAGGTAGATAACCGACTTTGTGCTATCGTACAGCGGGAAGGGTTCCGAGGGAAAGAAGTCCCAGGCGCCATGGGGGACGGCCTTGGGGCCGGAGGAGCCCGTGTGGTTACCTTGCGAGGCGGGCATTGTGGAAGCAATGTGTTGCGTTGTGCGGAAGTTGTCGGTGGTAGCCTGAGGCGAAATGTGACGACCATGAGACGGGGGGTGTTTGGCTTGGAGGGTCGGGCCTCGTGAGCGGACAAGCGTTGCCTACGGTAGTAGTAGCTTACGCAGCGGATACTTCGTCCTGGCAGAGGGAGAGGTCACGAATACACCTATCTATGGCCCTGAACATCACTCACTGTCTGGGTTGCGCCATACTGAGGGGAGACTTGCCAGAGCTCAAAGAAGTCGGGACACATGGCGGTACGTGTCTGTCACGCCGCATCGTGTCCGGGAGTGGCAGTCCTTGGCTGCCTCGATCTCGTTATTCATGATCATAAACCTACTACGTAAGAAAGCGCCCTTTACTAGTGTCGCGATCTGGCCCAAAGCGGAAATAGACGCGAAGTGGGGCAATTGCACGCGAAGGACTACTGACACAGGTCTCCGGATTTCGTCGAGGAGACACCGCACAGTCACCTTGCCTTCCGGGAGTTGATTTGGGCATAATATAAACAATGCTTGCCTTTCTCGAAGTGGAAGCTTGGTAGACATGTCTGAGAATAGGAGAATGCTTGAAAGTAGTTCTTGTATCGTGTCTAGGGAGACTGCTAGTAATCCAGGGTAGTGCACAAAGACGTCAACTAATTCTTTCAGAGTAAGTTGATAAGGCTTTACCTGCCACGGGATCGAAGACTAAGTATAAAGCCCTTCGCAAAATAACCAAATTCAGTAAGTCTGGGCTGGACTGGATAAGAATCTACTTAATTTAGCTATCTTCCAACACTTATTAGTACTAAATATAAAACTCTATAATTACCTTATACAGGGTCTCTTAGCTTTTTATATAGTTCTTTATAAAGTATATAAATATAGTAACTATTATAAATTTATATTATCTTAATAGATTAGATTTATTAAGCTATAATTAGCTAATATACTTTTTATATTATAATAAAAAAAAATATTAAAAAGATATATCTATAATTTATATAAATTTACTCTAAGAACTTTTATAAAACCTTTAAATATATTTTTTAATTAATATAATTTTATATATATATAATCTATAGCTTTTTAAATTAATTTAAAATATAATATATTAATTTTAACTTTTTATAATAAAATAAAAATAAAAATAATAATTTTATTATTTATAATAAAATATAAATAAAAATAATAATTTTAATTTTTTTAATAAGATTATTATTATTAAAAAAATTATTATAATTATATTAAATCTAGATAATATTAATATAATTATTTTATAAAAAAAATTAATTTTAAATTTAATAACTTTTTAATATAAGCTTTATAACTAATTAAGCTCTTATTAATAAAGTAATTTATATAAATAAAATATTTAAATATTAAAATAATAATTAGAACTGAAAATAATAATTATAATAAATTAAGTAGATTTTAATAATATAAATAATAATAATAATAATAATTTTATAATAATTATAATATATATAGTTAGTAAATAGTTATTTATCATATTAAAAAAAGAATTTAAAATTCTCTATTTTAAATATAGTTTTAATAAAATATTAATTTTTAAGTTTTTTAATACTAAATATAAAAAAGTCTTTAATAATAAATAAAACTAAATAAGAGCTATTAAAGATATTAAAAATAATAATAGTTCTAGCTCTAGTTATTTAATTAATATTTTCTTTAGTTAGTTAAATTTAAAATATTAATAATTTTAAAAGAATTATTTAAAATATCTAGACTTATTTTAAACTTATTAGCTAAACTTAATATATTAATACTTTTTATAATTATTTTATATAAAATAAATTATTAGCTGTTTAATATAATTTATATAATAATAGATTTACTATATAAACTATATTTAGTTTTTATTAATATATAATAACTTTATAATTAGTTATTATAATTTCCTTTAAATAATCTATAGTAGTATTAGATTAATTAATCTACTATATTCTAAATACTATTATATTAATCTTATTTAATTTAATTTTTTTATTTAATAAACTTTTTAATAATTTAATTTAATTTAATTTAATTCTCTTCTATCTAATATTACTAATTAAAATAGATATTAAACTTAAAAAGCTATTTTAATTCAGATTAATTTAATTTAGTATATTACTTACTAGAACTATATATAATAACTTAAATTATAATAGTAATTAAGTACTAAAAGAATATTATTATAGTTCTTTATAAGTATATTAATAATTAGATCTATTTCTATATTATTACTAACTATAAGAAAATAAAATAATAGTTCTAGTAGATATAACTATTAGATCTATATAAAAGAGAATAGCTTTATTACTATAAGTAAATTTATAATAGATTATAAGTTTAAATAATTAATATTTAAAAAGAGATTTTAATAGTTTTTATTAATAATAATTATTATATATATAAGAATCTAATTATTTATAATAACTAAGCTCTAGCTATAGAGAATAATAATATTAGAGATATTTATTATTATTATAAGAAGAGATAGTTAGTAATAATAATAATAAGCTTAGAGAGATATTATAATTAATTATAGATAATAAGTATTCTCCCTTAGAGTCTATAACTAAGTTATATATTTAGTAAGCTCTTTTTAGAGTTTTTAAAGATACTATTATCTTATCTTAGCTTATATAAATAAAAAAGTAAAAAAAATAGAATTAAAGATTAGATATAGATTAAAACTTAGTTAAAAATAAATTATATAAAGCTAGTTATATATAGCCTGATCTTAGAATATTTCTTATATATAGTAAAAACCTCTAAAAAAAATAATAATAATAATAGATTAAAAAAATAAATATATTATAAATTTATTTAAAAGAAATTAAAAAAAATTTAAAAAAAATTTAATAATAAATAAATTAATATTATAAAAAGATTAATTAAGAAAATAAGCTAGATTTTATATAATAATTATAAACTAGATAATAGAACTAGTTTAAATAGATTAAAAAAATATCTAACTCTAGATTATAAAGAGTTATAATTATTATAATCTATTTAAACTATTATTTTAATAGCTTTCTAAATATATAAAAGTAATATATATAATATTTAATAGAAATAATTATAATTATTTTAATTTATAAATAAAAAGTAATTTATTTTTAATAATATATTCTTTATTTATTAATTAATTAATATTTTATTTTATTATTTTTCTATTATTTAATTTATTAAATTATTATAAAATTATATATAAGGATTTTATAAATATATTATTTTAACTATATTATAAATCTATTTATTTTATAATTAATCTATTTAATAACTATAATTATTTTTAATATTATTTATTATTAAAAACTTCTAATCTAAAAAGATTTTAAATTATTCTAATTTTATTAAATCTATATTAAAATTAATAAGATTTTTAATATTAAATTCTTAAGTTTTTTTTATTAAATATCTTTTTATTAGATAATTATAATAATATTATATAATTAATATAAATTACTTAACACTGTGTGAACCATGTTTGGTCTTTATTGGCATGTGGCAACTTTGCGATTGGCTATCGCAATTTTCTTCAAACAATCTATGGTGGCATTGGATTGACTAACCTGCCGCATTCCGGACGCCGTCGTATCAACCTTATTCAATTTAACTTTTCCATCCGACAAACTTTTCGACAATTCAATTCGATTCGATTCGATTCTCTTCCGCCCGACATCACTAACCAAAACAGACATTGAACTCAAAGGGCCGCCTCGGCCCGGATCGACTCAACCCAGCACATCACCTGCTGGAACCACATATGGTAACTTGGGTCGTGGTAGTAATCGAGCACTGGAGGAACGTTGTTATAGTCCTCCGTAAGTGCATCAATGATCGGGTCTATCTCCACGTCATCGCTGGCTGCGAGAAGATAGAGTGACAGTCCTAGCAGGTGCAACTGCTGGGCCTGTGTGAGAGAGAGCGGCTTCGTTGCCGCAAGCAAACCTGTGACAGATCGCAGGCTTGAACGATTGATATC